CATCTTCACTACAGAGGCATGGCCCATATATAGCTCAGGCCCTAGCATGCCAGGCTCCTTTTGGATCAGGATGGGGCTTGCTATACTGAGACCTGTAACCCCAAACAACTGTACCTCTGTATTAAGGATCCAGGGAAGAGCCTGTGGGCTGTAGTTGGCCACCCCTGCCCTAAACCTTTCCATACATGGGCCAGATTATGTCTTTGAAACTATGATTGTGACTGGTGATAAGGGAAGGGCTATGTTGTAGCTTGAGCCCCAGCAGGGCTGACTCAGCCAGAATCCTTCCTGGAGCTTTGAGGGAATGTACACTACACTGCCGCATCATCCTGACCACCCTTGGAAAGCAAGCTCTGTCTGCTTCCCTCCATGTTGGATAAACTCTCCTGGCTGAGAGCAATGTCACGTATCCCCAAAGGGATTATGCCAGGTCCCTACCCAAGGACGCAACCGGGGAAGGCTTGTTGTGCCGTCTCCCCTTCCTACACCCTTTGTTTGCCAATACAGAGCTGGGATAGTGTATAATACTTTGAACTACAAAGGAATTAGCCTCACCTCTCCCACTGCCATTAAAGGGAAAATTCCTAGTGACTTTTAATGGAAATTGTGTGATTCTATCATGAAACTCTTCCAAAATGCATGGAAGGCTGTGCCATTTTTACAGTGCACACAAGTATGCTAGGTTCTCTGTAGTATGTAAGCTGTTTGGGCAACATCTTTCTACACAATCTAATTCTAGATGTGACGAAACAAGAGGGGTTAACTAACTTCCCAGAAAGTACTGACTTGGTAGGGTGGAGGGAAGAGGTCAGGAAGTACAAGAGTCCCAGCTTGGGTACAAGGCTAAGCTTGTCTTCAAGCAGTGTAAAGTGTTGTTATAGTATTCATTATGCTAGGAGCTGGCTAACAGTGGAGAACACTGAAAGGTGTTTTTTTGTTGTTTTTTTTAAGAAGGAGCTTGTGAAAAAAAACAGTCTGATAACCTTCATCGGTCAGATATTGAGGGGGCAGTGGGTACAAATCTGGTATTTATTTTGAAAGTGGTTTGATGTTGGAATGAGTGCAAGTCTTTCTTCTGATGACAAGAGACTGTCTTGCATTTGATTCTTCTGGTGGGGTATGGTATTGAAAATCTGTTCCAGTATTTATCGGTCGCTCGCTGGCCTATGTATCTCCTGTGTCCTGCTGATCGTGACTCCCTTCATGTCCATGTTATGTTTTGTATTTGTAGTGGGCTAATATATTTGCACTTTCAATTAAGTATGCCTGTCCACTGCTGCTTTATATGGACAAGGATTTATCTGATCAACACATGTAGCTTGCTTCCAAGTGAATGATTTTGTCGAGGTAGGGTCTTCCGTTTGTAGTTCTGGGAGGACTTAGTAGGCCTTAGACTTTACGTGTGTGTCTTCCTTTTTGCTTATTTCTCCTTCCACTCCTGCCAGCTGCAGTGATTCTGGGGCTGTAGGCACCAGTGGATATGTGCATCTTGACATTAAACACCGTACCAGGCTGCTATTATAGCCTTCTGTGGGAGTGTTTCTCCAATCAAGAAACATTTTCTTTGCTCTTTACAGGTTTCTTTAATAGAGTCTGAACAATTCTAACTGCTGATTAGGCTTTGCCATATGACTGCCTGGTATGACTGAATTCCCACTCCTGGGTAAACTACACAAATTCACTGCAAGTAAACTGGGGTCTCTTCTCTAAAACTACACAGTTTGAGATATCACAGCCAGAAGCTGTGTGGGTTATATACTTCCCCTAGCTAAGGAAACATGTCCCGAGCTTCAGAGACTTCCTAGTTGAGATCCCCGATGAGCCCCCACTTGTAACGCTGACAGACCCTGGTCATTGGCAGACGGGATCAAACCTGGGACTTCTGGAGCTTAATGCATGAGCCTCTACCACATGAGCTGAAAGCCAACTAGCTGTTAGCTAAGGCTGCAGAGCAGACTCATTTAACTCTCTCTTGCTAAGTGGTTTTGGTGCCACTAGATGGGACAGAACACCACACCCAGAAGGTGTGTGGGTTACACTTGGTCTGTGATGATCACTGTAGTAGTGTCTGACAGTTTGGCTAGTTCCCAGAAATCTGCATAGTCATCTATAATAATGACAGGTTTCAGAGGAACAGCCGTGTTAGTCTGTATTCGCAAAAAGAAAAGGAGTATGAAGTGAGCTGTAGCTCACGAAAGCTCATGCTCAAATAAATTGGTTAGTCTCTAAGGTACCACAAGTACTCCTCATCTATAATAATGAAAGCGGCAAAGAGTCCTGTGGCACCTTATAGACTAACAGACGTATTAGAGCATGAGCTTTCGTGGGTGAATACCCACTTTGTCAGATGCAGACTGTTAAGAGCCATTAGGAAAGGGATAGATAATAAGACAGAAAAAATACCATAATGTCAGTATATAAATCCATGGTACACCCACACCTTGAATACTGTTGCATTTCTGGTCACCCCAATCTCAAAAAAGAGATATTAGAACTGGAAAGGGGTCAGAGAAGGGCAACAAAAATGATGAGGGGTGTGGAACAGCTTCCATCTGAGGAGAGATTAAAAGGGCCCGGACTTTTCAACTTGGAAAATAGATGACTAAGAAGGGATACGATCGAGGTCTATAAAATCGTGACTGGAGTGGAGAAGGTGAATAAAGAAGTATTATTTTTATATTGTATTTGTATTGGCGACCCTAGCCTCTGTTGGTGTCTCCAGCCTCTTCTTACCAGAAGCTGGGAATGGATGACAGGGGATGGATCACTTGATGATTCCCTGTTCTGTTCATTCCCTATGGGGCACCTGGCATTGGTCACTGTCGGAAGACAGGATACTGGGCTAGATGGACCTTTGGTCTGACCCAGTCTGGCCATTCTTATGGTCTTATTTACTCCTTCACATAACACAAGAACCAGGGGTCACCCAATGAAATTAATAGGTGTCAGGTTTAAAACAAACAAAAGGAAGTACCATTTTACACAACGCACAGTCAATCTATGGAACTCGTTGCCAGGAGATATTGTAAAGGCCAAAACTATAACAGGGTTCAAAAAAGAATTAGATAAATTCATGTAGGATAGGTCCATCAATGGCTATTAGTCAAGATGGTCAGGAATGCAACATCATGCTCTGGGTATACCTAGCCTCTGATTGCCAGAAGCTGGGAGTAGATCGCAGGGGATGGATCACTGAATGATGCCTGTTCTGTTCACTGCCTCTGAAGCACCTGGCATTGGCACTGTTGGAAGACAGGATATTGGGCTAGATGGACCATTGGTTTGACCCAGTATGGCCGCTCTTATGTTCTTACAGTTTGGGGGACAATAAGGGGAAGAGAGGGCTGTCCTGTGGTGATAGCTGTTTAAAAGCTTTGGGGTAATCAATATGGGTGAATCTAGTAACTCCAGCTGTACTTTATTCTTTTTAGTACTGGAATTCAGCTATCTTAACTACAATGTGTCTCACACACATGAATGTTGTCATTATTACTGTACATTGTTGAGTAGTTTTTGATGGACTGGACTGGAGATAAGTGAGAAATGGGAAATTAGAGAAGAAGTAGTTTTTTGAGTTTTTCTTTGGATGATCAGATAAATGGTTCTGTGAAATCATCACCTTTTTGCGAGGAGTTGACTAACCAAACAATTGTCCATGATGCAATCCACACACTCTCTTTCAAGTCTCTTCCTTTGTGCAGGAGCTGAAAAAGATATTTGTGAGCTTAAATGACATATGCTTCCCATTGTTTAATGGCCATTTTATAGATTATTATTCATATATTTGCTCCCCCCTGAGAAGTTAACATTGTGGAAAGACATGTAATGCTAATGTGTTGCACTTATAGACGGTAGTGCTTTCCATCCAAAGATCTCAAAGGGTGGTAGAAACACCAGTAAATTAAGCTTCATGACAGCTTTGTGAATTAGGTATTATCTGCATTTTAGAGATGGAGTAACTGAAACACAGAGAAATTAAGTGACAGAATTGGGAATAGAACCCTTAGTTTCCAGGCCATATTTCTGAGGATCCAATGAAGTTAATTGAAAGAATCCCGCTAACTTCAGTGGGCTTTGGGTCAGGTCCTAACAACTGAAAAAATCTGAGGTAAAGTCCGATTCAGATTCACACAATTCAGAAATATTCTTGTTCTGGCTTTAGGAACTGACCGTGTAGAAGGCCTGTTAATCAATTGAGTAATCTTTGGGTATGGCTTGAGACAGGACTTGTGAAGAATGTTGAAGTTTTGGGAACTTCTTTTCATTCCAGATTGGTCCTTTAGACATTTTTCATGAAAAAACATGAGAGTGTGACAAAGCAAGAGAGAGAGAGAGACCCAACCTGTGCTAGATCAGCAGTTAGGGCATGCACCTACGATGTGAGAGACCCAGCTCTCCCTGCTTTGGAAAGTATAGTCTAGCACAGTGGTTCCCAAACTTGTTCCGTCGCTTATGCAGGGAAAGCCCCTGGCGGGCCAGGCCAGTTTGTTTGCCTTCCTCTTCCACAGGTTCAGCCGATCGCGGCTCCCAGTGGCCGCGGTTCCCTGCTCCAGCCAATGGGAGCTGCTGGAAACAGCAGCCAGGATGTCCCTCGGCCCGCGCTGCTTCCAGCAGCTCCCATTGTCCTGGAGCAGCAAACCGCGGCCGCTGGGAGCCGCAATCAACCGAACCTGTGGATGCAGCAGGTAAACAAACCAGCCTGGCCCACCAGGGGCTTTCCCTGCACAAGTGGCGGAACAAGTTTGGGAACCACTGGTCTAGCCGATAGCAAACAGGCCTGGCTCTACCACAGACCTTCTGTGGAACCTTGGACAAGTCACTTCACCTGTTTCCTCTCCACCCTTTGTCTTTCTCATCTATTTGCAGTATGAACTCCTCAGGGCAGAGCCTGCACCCCCATCCCAGATGGGGCCTGTAGGCGCTGCCATAAAAAAAATTAAAATGTAATAATATTATTAAATGAAGGGTTTGAACACAGATTTAATGTATTTTTTTCCTAGAAAAGAGGCTCCAGACTTTCCTTATAATTTAACCGTGACTGATAGTTATAATAAGACAACCACAGTCCATTACGTCTCTGATACTTTATCAAACCCCTATGGTTGGATGGCTCTGCTCTTGGACCAGGAGACTTACACTCTGACTTTTGGTAACCCTTTCGTCAGCAAACAACTGCAGGTAATGCTGTGTGTTTTGTTTGTTTTGTTTGTTTATAAAATGGCTTTTGTAATGGATGAACAGCATTCACCAAAACTATATCAAGGAACAAAGGAAGAGAAACCCTCCCATTGTTCTGGATGGGCAAACAAAGGAGGAAAAGTACTGCGTGCACATAAAAGAACAAAAGATAGTCTTCAGATCACATACACCGGCAACTTTATGAAATTGCTCTGAGCTGGAAGAGCATTCTGGGCACCATTGGTGAATGTTCGCCCCAGTGCAGAGGGCCAGAACAAGATCTGTGAACCACTTAAGACCCACTGAAGCTTGGTCTTGTTGGCCCCTAATTTCTACCCTCGTTTTAATGTGGTCAGGAGGATTGATTTAGCGTCCACTTCCCACCTCTCATACATAGTCTTTAACATTCTATGCTTCTGATGCCAATTCACAAAAGAATGCATTACACTTCAAGAAAATGCATGTTCATTATGTTTCCCTCCATCTAGTACTCGGCTACATTCGATAACTTCGTTGCTGGGAATTACTTACTGGTGGAACATGAGAACCTCCCATCCTATGCTGAGGTCATTCTGCTCTGTGGGACAAGGCCTGGTCAGCCACTCCAGTCACTTCCTTCACACAGTCATAACAAGGGCTGTGATTGGTTTTTCAACAGCAAGTTGGGGAAACTAACCTATTTAGGTAAGTGCAATGCAAGTAATATATGTAACGTGCAAATGAGCAGTGCTGGAGCGGCCAATCTGCAATTAAAGGCTCTGATCTGCAAGGTCTTGGGCATGGACATAGCTTTAAGTCAGTAGGACTACTCAAATAACAAGTTATGCACATGCCCAAGCCTTTTCAGGGTCAGGGCCTTAATCTCTTAGTTATCCACAAAGGAAGGTACAGTATGAGCCTTGGCAACTGATGCTTTGGAGGTAAAAAGACTTTTGGAGTCCATTATCAATCCCTTGAATCCCCCACCTTAAATGTCTTAGGAGATATTTGCTGTGAGTCCAATCCTGCACCCACTGAAAGTCATGGGAGTATTATTTTTTTTTTTTTTACTAAGGATTACTAATATGAAGAGTGGGTCCTTACATCGTGAACTCTCAGTGGCTTTGTAGGCCCATAGGTTTGAAAACGTTGACTTTTTAGAGATAATTTCTAAATGTTGTGGCTATTGACTGTTCTTTATTGTGATTTACTGACTGTTCTTTATTGCAATTTGGCATTGACAACCTCTTCAAAACCTGGGACTTTCACCCCTTTATCCTTTTCTCCAGCAAATCGGTCACTCTGGTGCTAAATTCTGGTTGTGAAAGGAGAAGTAATGATTAGGACCATGATTAATAATGGCAGTACCGGAAGTCACTAGACCTCACAGTGCCCTTGGGAGGCAGCTATTATCATTGTCATTTCACATATATGCTATATCTATACTGCAACCAGGGGTGTAACTTGGAGCTCCCATACTTTATCCCATAGATGTATGTACTTACACTCCCGTTCGTCCAGTCTATATGGTTAAAAACAGCAGAGAGAACACAGTGGTTCAGGCTTCAACTCAGGCAATGGAAGCCCACTTGACCCCCCGGATAGGTACTTCACGGTAGTGTAGACATACCCTTAGTGAAGCTAAAACACAGAGGGCCTGAATCTGACTTAGCTAGACCATTTTGACACTCGTACAACTTCATTGGCTTTATTGAGTTACTTCTGATTTGCACTGATTTGATTGCAGTAAAACCTAGAGAAGTTAAGTGACTCACCCAAGGTTGTGCTACACATGTATCACAGAGCAAAAAAGCTTGATTTCTTTGCAATTTACTAACAGTAAGGAGGGGGAAAAGACACATACAGCTACATGCAAATCTGAAGATAATTCTCCACTGAGGACCTATTATTTCCAGTACAAATATGTCAACAGTTGGGCACTTTGGATACCCTGCATAACATTTTCCTTGAAGTAGGGAAGCCTGGGAAAGCTGGAAACCTGTGGTGTATTTCTTGGCACGTTATTGACATTAAATAAATCGATCTGACTAATGTTGTCAACAGTAGTGAACTATGATGTACCATTTAGCACGCAGCAGTCTCAAACAGAATGGTTACATTTCTATTCCTCCTTTCGTCTTGTTTGCATTCTGATTGTGTTGCATTTAGTACATTGTTTTTTTAATACGGGGGGATAGAATCACATATTTGGCATTCAAATGAATTAAAACATCTCCATCTCACATTTATAATCCATGCTGAGAACATTTGACTAGACTGCAACTAGTACTTTACTTACATTATAACTGGGAGACCATTAATACAATCTACAAGATGGCCACAGTGGTCCCTTCCAGCCTTAAAATAGACAAATCTGTACATTGAAACAGAGAGAATGGCGCTTTTGGTTTTAGCCCTTGGAACACTCTGCTGTTTAACATTGGGAGCTGTTTTTATTTTTGTTACATTTAACTATATGAAATAATTAGTCAACTAATTAATCCAGTTTACACGTTTTGTAGGATTCTTCAGCTGTCACTCACGTCCAAGCCTGAGGCCTATGTTTAGTCTCAGTTCTCTTGTTCATGTGACTTGGTCGCCATGGCTACTGGCTGCATCTGCTGACACCCTACTCTCTATTTACTGCTTAATTAAGAATTTCACGCTCAGCCCTTATCTGCCGCTAAGAACAAGAACACACTGTTAAGAAATTCCAAATTTAGGCTGCTGCACAAGGAAAGCCTTTCTTGTAGGCCTGACTGTGTGGAGCCTCTTTAACTATTCTCTTGGCAACTGAGCTGCCACCCTTCAATCAAAAATCATTAAATGGGGCAGAGATAATGAGCATGTAGCATATCAAAAGGAGGATGTTTGCTTGTGCTAAGGAGGAAAAGCTGTAAGGGCCTATAAGCAGCCGCCACTTCAAAGAAAGAGGGGGCTGCCCCGTCAGCAGGGCTGATAAAGCATCATTTGTTCCTGCTTGACTTATGTAAAAGGTCTGGTATGTTAGAGTCCCGTCTTGCAGACGCGAGTCTGCGCTCTTGGTGCTCGTGTGTCAGCAGTTAGGCAGCTGGGCCCAAACAGCATCAGCCAGAGCATATAATCACTTGACTCCGTCTCGACAATGGACACTTGTAGGGGGTGGTCAGGGGGAGGTCCCTAGGATAATAGGAACACAATTATTGCAGCTGCTAGGGAGGGCTATAATTCTTCCTGGAGAAAGTAGCAGGCCCTCATAGAGTTGGGGGAAGACCTTGAGTGTATTATTCATATTCTGACTTTTGGAAGCACTTTGCTGTACCGGTGGGGTTCCAGCAGCTGCTCATGTATCGCCTCTCTCTAATAATTGTACATTCTGTCAGGGGTCAACTTACTTTTGACCCTCTCCCTTTGTGTCAGTTAAAAGGCTTTTTAGGGCAAACTGTTGGGTAGTGGCAGGGGTGCATTAAATTCAAAATTAACGTCAGTAAATACAGATCAGATGCCAGCTCATTCAGAGGCAGGCTCCTAAATTCACACAGCCCTTTGCTCAGCCCCAATGGAAATTTAAAAAAGACCCAACAACTGGGAAGATATTGTTATTCAAAAAAGCCAAACAGCTGAATGAATCTGCCTCAGCCAGCACTGGGGACTGTTCATGTTCAGCTCAGATGCTCTCTACGCCCCCCTTGTCTGATCGGTCACGGAATTTGACCAGCATCCTGCAAGCTCTCGTCTTCGGGGAATGAAACTGTCTGACACAAAGAATGAGAAAATATAAGGTTGGGAACAAGGTGGTTAAGCTGCCCCGGTGCTTTACTTGTTTGGAAATTAGAGCGTGGCACAAACAATGCAGAAGACTCCTAATGTGGAACGATTATAATTATAATGGGCGATAAGTAGAACCCACAGGATTCAATGTTTCAAATGCATGGAGGACACATGCAATGATCCTGTTAACCAAGGTGCTGACTGCTACCTTTGCACGTTAATCCTGTTAACTAACTCCCATGCAGCCCTTTGAAAAAGGATCTGTTCAGAAGTTCAAAATACAAGGTGCTCACAGGCAGATTATTCCCCTTCGCTGCTGGGAGCTGGGGGAAGAGGGTTGTAGCCTCCTGTGCTGAAGGAATTTGGGGGCTACTCTCATTCATACCTCTGTAACTATGCTGTTAGGGTTGCTATGTATCCTTGTGTAAGTGGGAAGGTGCTATTTTCCTCCAGGACGTCTTGTGTCCCAAAAGAAATGCTCTCGAAGCACTTGTGGGTCCTGAAGTCACTGTCTGGCCCTATGAAATGCTAACCTACTGTGACACAGGCTCATGTCATGACTGTGTTTTGACGTAACATCACCACGTTGTGGCACGGTGAGCTCATGTCACAGTGTGGGGAGGTAAATGTCATACTGGGGCAAACTCAGACAATGGCATCTTTAAGTCTGAGGTATTCTATGCAAACTACAGTAATGACCTTTTTTGCACTGTCAGTTCTTTGAGACAGGGATTGTCTTTTCATTATGTATGTGTACAGCACCTACCAGGACTGGGCCCTGATCCTTGACTTGGGCCTCTGGGCAGTACCACCATATAAATAACCAGTGGCATGTATTTTAAATTCCTAGTGTTGTGGAACCTTTTGAAATTACAAAGTTGTTTTTGTTTCAAAGCGTTCAAGGTGGAACCATTTTTCATTTGTTTTTCCATTTTTATGACCTTTTCATTATTATTATTAATTATATTTGCATTGTGGTAATATCTGGGAGACGAGTCTTGAACCAGGATCCCATTGTGGTAGGCACTGTACGCCTATGTACAACTGAAAGATGGCCCCTGCCCCAAAGAGCTTACAATCTAGGTATAAATCAAGACATACCAGATGGATAAATAGACAAGTGGGGTCGGGGAAGTACCAGGAAGCAATGGGACAGTATTGGCCAACATGATAAACAGTGGTCTCAAACAGACTGTGGCTGTTAGGTTTTTGGAGGTATTGTTGCAAAAGAAAGTTTAGAGGAGAGATTTGATGGTGGATAATGAGGTGGCTTAGCAGATCTTTATGGGAGCAACTCCCAGACATAAGGGCAGCATGGGAGAAAGAATGAAGGTGCTTGTTTGAAAATTTAATTAGTGGGGAGTGAAGGTGGAGGTTGTGAATAAGAGGTTGTAATCTCAGTAGTGAATAAGAGATGATAGGTAGGGTGGGGATAGGCCATGAAGGGCCTTGAAAATGAAGACAAGTAAGCTTATTAATTGAACCATTTTTAGTTGAAATATTTGTCAAAAACATGATTGAAACTTTATTAACATAGTTACTGAACTTTTTCATTTACTCCCAACCCATTTTCCAATGAACTTAAAATATGGGCCTTGTCTCCTTGAAGTCAATGGGACTACTCACATGTAAATGTGAGTAAGTCAATGGGACTACTCACATTGATCACATTACACAGGATCAAGGCTTAGCATTGTGTTGGTGCTGCATCAAACCAGGTTTGCTGTTTAATTAGCTTAAGAAACTTGAATTTCATTATTTTGATCGTTCTTTCTTATAAATACCTAAAGCCTGATCCAAACTCCATTGTAGTCAAAGGGAGATTTTCATTGATCTCAGCAGGAGAAGAGCAGGCCTCTAAAGAGTTGTTCTTTACATTGAAAATTACTGTATAAGCAAAACAAAGATGTTTCATTCATATTCATTGCCCAAGTTTCAAGGGGCATTTTGGATGA